CATGGAAGCAGCAGTCAAGAAATCAATTGCATTAGGAAAATCTGCTACACAAGATCTCCTTAAAGTATTCTAAAACAGAGATATAAATTGGGGATTAAGGTGCTCCTGACCCAAGCCATGGTATTTCCAATTCCCTCATGTTGTTGTTGTTAAGTACCATGGAGTTGGTTCTGACTCATAGTGACCCTGCACAGGGTTTCCGAGGCTGTAAATCTTTATGGGAGCAGAATGCCTCATCTTTCTCCCGCAGAACTGCTGGTAGTTTTGAACTGCTGACTTTGAGGTTGACAGCCCGATTTGTAACCACTACACTACCTTAATTCCCTCATATGCATATGAAAGTCAGATATTAATATGGAGATCCATAGAAGAATCAATGCATTTGAATTATGGTGTTGGAGAAGAATATAAGAAGTACCATGGACTTCCAGAAGAACAAACAAATCTGTGTTGGACAAAGTACAGCCAGAATATTCTGTAGAGACCAGGATGGTGAGACTTCATCTCTCATACTTTGGACATGTTACTAGGAGGGATTAGTTCCTGGAGAAAAACATTATGCTTGGCAAAATGGAAGGCCAGCGAAAAAGAGAAAACCCCTAAGAAGATGGATTAATTAGTACAGTGGCACTAACAATGAGCTCAAACATCACAAAAATTGTGTGGCTATCACAGGACCAGGCAATGTTTTATTCTGTTGTGCATAGGGTTTTTATGAATCAGAACCTGGTCAACAACCTAACAAAAACAACATATTTCTCACACTATAAATGCTTGGTCATTTAGTAGTTCTATGCTTAGTGTACCGAGGAACCAAACTATTTTCCACAGAATCTTATGTGTTAGCATTTTGAATGACAGCAAATGGTTGTGGCCTGGAATTTTATTATTTTCTTAAGATAAATTATTGTTGAAATATATTGGTACAACATTTTTTTTTTTTTTTTGGTGTTTTCAGTTGATATTTAAACTTTGAAATCAAACCAAACTCTTGAATGTCAGAGATATCACTCTCCCAGCAGTAAAATAACAGATTTGGTATTAGATTTGAAACTTCATTTTGAGTCAGGACCAAATCCAAGCACTGCAATTTTAAACTTTTGGCAGGCTTCCTAGCCTACCTCGTGAGCATGAAATCAATCCAACTATTGTACACAGAGAATTCTGGTGTGACTGTGTTTGTGCTCTCTGAAGAATTTGAGTTGGATGTCCTAGAACATCTGTATCCAAGTTACATGATTTCTTGCAGCATGCTGCAATATTCCACAGGAATTGAAGTAGAAGTAGTAATTTAATTCCAAGAACTCTTACAAATATCTTGATCAGTTGAAGCCAGAACTTAATTGTGACAATTAAGCAATTTGCACACAAAGGACACAATGGTCTTTCTCCACTGTTTGAGCAAGGATCCAGACTTGGATAGATTCCCTTAACTCATATCTGTTTTCTTTTCTGGGTAATATTTTATAGAAGACAAATCTGTTCTTTTTAGTTCAGATGTGATTACAGGCTACTAGAATATCCCTTCCAAGATTTTTCTTCCTGTTTACTTAATATAGTCAATGATACCATCATCCAAGCCAGAAACATCAGTCATCCTTAAAATCTCTTTGGTCTTTACCCAACTAACCCAAGTCACTCACCAAATCCTGCTGATTCTACCATCAGGCTTCCAAAACTATCCTTCCTTTTTGACTCTACAGTTACCACCTTAGTTTATACCCTATCCATTGGGTTACCGCAGGGGTAGAGAACCTATTTTCTGTCAAAATTTGTAACATCATTTGCAGGCCGCGCAAAATCATCAACTTAAAAATTAGCCTGCTATATTTGGTCAAACACTTAATTAGCTCACTTCTAATGTGATGGCTGGAGTTTTGGTGTGGTGCCACAGGATAATGCGCTGGACCTCAAGGTTGGTTGGAATTGCTAGGTCAGCGGTTCACACTCACCAGCCGCTCCTCAGAAACCACACAGGGTCCTTGAGTCAGAACCTACTCGACAGAACTTAACAACAACAACCACAATGTGATGGCTGGAACTGCGGTTGCCTTGGCAGGGCCAGACCAAATGATTTCATCGGCCAGACATACCTTATTATCCCTGATTTACTGGAATAACCTTCAAATTGGCTTATTCCATACCAAACTTCTACAACAATGTCACAGTCATCTTTAAAAACAGATCTAATCATCTTCCTACTCTTCTGTGACTCCCCATTGGGTATACAAATAATTTTTCATTTGTATTGTAAATTAGGTGAAGGTTTACAGGGAAATCAGTTTTCCATCCAACAACTGATACACATTTTGTTTTGTGACACTGATTGTAATTCCACAATGTAACAACATTCACCCCACTCCCTCCCTGAGTTTATGGTTTCCATTCGTCCTTCTTCTCTAACGCTTTCTGCCATCTGAGCTTTATTCCTAGAGAAATGTTGTCCTTTGATCTTGAATGCTATTATTTATTGTATGAGCCTGTTTTTTATACCCCAATTGTCCTGGTGTAGTACTATAGGATAAACTACTTGACCACAAAGTCGATTTGAACCAAAAGCTTGGTGGTTCAAACTCACCAGCCACTGCTTGGAAAAGTTATACCAGGGTCACTATGGGTCGGAACCGACTCAACAGAACAACAACAACAACAATAAGAAAAACAGTTTTCAAACTGTGTTCTGTGAAGCCTTGGGATGTCTGTAGTCCAGATGGAGAACTCAGCAGTGCCCCTTTGTCTATTTACATTGGCTCCTGTAAAAGATTTTGTGTGAACAGTCCTTTCCTGAAAAGAATTGAAATCAGTAACCTCAAGTGTCCTGAAGCCCTTGGTATGCAGCTCTCTCTACTTGCCCAGCCCATGTTGCTGGTGCCATCCAGTGCCCCATTGGGTTACTTCCATATGCTGAATTTGTTCTCCAGTCAAGGGGAACTCACCATGTCCGCTAACCTGCATGAGTTACATTTATTTCTTTGAATGTGCTCTCTCTTTGCCTGGAATGATCTTTGTTCCTCTTCCTTTCTCGGAGAGTTCTACTCATCCTTCCAAAGTAGCTCAGATAGTGCCTTCTTTGGATCCAACAGGATCTTCCCTGTTTTCTCCGCCAGACAGATGATTTTTCTCCCTCCTCTGTGTTCCTTCAGGACCCTGGGCATATAGGAGCTCTGACTACCACAGAATTTGTCTTCCAGTCTGCTCCTTGTTACCTCTGCCGTTATATTCGGAGTTACTCAGGAACAAGATTCATATCTCAGTCATCTCTTTTCCCAGTACCTGGCCCCTCTTGGTACTAGGTGTCATCGGGTCAGTTGTGACTCATAGTGATCCTATCTGTGCACAACAGAACGAAGCACAGCCTGGTCCTGAGCCATCCTCACAACCATTGTTACATTTGAGCCCATTGTTGCTGCCACTGTGCTAATCCATCATGTTGTCCTTCTCCAGGGGTTGGTCCTTCCTGATACCATCCATGGCCTGATACCTGGCCCCTAGCAGTTAATAAACAATAATGTAAAACCCCACCATTAACTATCAGTCAATAACAAACACAGGCTGGGCAGCAGGTAGGGTGGTAGAATGAGGAAGTGACTGGACAAAAGAAGTGGAGTGAGGGTCTTCAAGGTCTCTTTGTTCAGGTTGCCTTAGTTAAATTGAAGAGACAGTTCTTTTTTTTACAGTGTAGTTTTAAGGCCACTGAGGAACATATCTCTGAGAAAGACTGGAGCTGAGACCCGTGTGCTGGTAGCACAGCAGGCCTGCTCTGAGTACTTGCAGAGTGAGAATAATGCACACGCCTCAACGCAAGAGTAATGCCATTCCAATAGTATTAATAACTAATGCGTGCATAAAAGAAGCTCTGGTAGCGTAGTGGTTATGTATCGGGCTGCGAACCTCAGAGTCAGCAGTTCGAAACTACCAGCTGTTCCACGGGAGAAAGATGAGGCTTTTTGCTCCCATAAAGACTTACAGCCTCAGAAACCCTGTACAGGGTCGCTATGAGTTGGAACCAACTCCATGGCACATAACAGCAACAACATACATCAGTTTTCTCCTTTTACGTGTATGGACTCAGTTGATGCTTGTGCCCTGCAGGCTAGCAAGGCAGTGGTTATTGTCACCTTTATTCTACAGACAGAAAAACAAGCCCCTGGTCACCACATAGTTAAGAAATAGTAGGGACAGCACTTAAATGCATGCCTTCTGGCCCCCAATTCCATAATTTTTCCAAGCTGCCTTATCCCCAATTGGTTGAATGTGCTTTGGGAAGGCTGACAAAATGAAGACAGTCTACAGAAGTAGGGGAGAATGATTTATAGCTTCTTAATGTGTTCCATAGACTCTTGTGGTACTGCAGGATAAGTAGTTCAAACCCACCAGCTGCTCCTTGAAAAGCCTAAATAGGGTCACTATGAGTCAGAACTGACTCGACGACATATAACAACAACAGCATATGTGTCCTTTGGGTCCCTGGGTGACACAAAGGGTTTACACTCAATTGCTAACCCAAAGGTTGGTGGCCTGCATCCACCCAGCAGTACCTCACAAGAAAGGCCTAACAATCTACCTGCGTAAGGCAGCGGTCACTGAAACCCTACAAAGCAAAATTCCACTCTGCCACACATGGGGTCACCTTGAGTCAGAACCCACTCAATAGCAAACAGGGATTTTGTTTTCAGTTTTGCTAATGTGCCTTATGAAGAGCTCTGATAGCGCAGTGGTTGAGTCAGGCTGCTAACCTCATCAGCAGTTCGAAACTACCAGTCATTCCACGGTAGAAAGAAGAAGCTTTCTGCTCCCGTATTGAATGTACAGCCTCGGGAGCCCTATACAGGATTGCTATGAGTCAGAACTGACTCTGTGACACATAACCACCACCACCAATATGCCTTATATAAATGAAATGTCAGTGTTTAATTTAAGCAGCTCAAAGAAAATTTACCACATGCTTCTTTCTAATTACTTGGTTTCTAATGTTTATTGCTTTTGTTTTTCAGATTCCAATAATGAAAGACCCTGGTTGGATTCGAAACGTATGGTCTTCAAACATTAATGTGAGTGAAGATGCTATGAATGTCCAAATTATGCTTTGATAGTTTAAGACTTGAGAAAATATTCCTTTACAAGCTGTGGTTTACTGTCATGGGTATGTGTATATTCTAAACCAGGCCTAACCAGAGCTTCCTGAGTTTACGTGGAGCCCTCACTAGATGTGTGATAAGCTCCTAATGGAGCTAAGAACATTTTGACTGGTGTCTCATCTCTGTGCCCTGTAATTTATGCCTCCCCCTGCAGAGATATGATTGTGTTATCTCCCTGATTCAAAACACTGGGCCTTGTGATAAGGTCCTTATTGATACCATGCCATTTGTTGTCCTTGGTGGACTATCATTATCATAGGGCAGTCACCTAATAAGAGCTATTGCAGCTATATCCCAGCCCTTAAAGCACAACTCCAGGTTCTGCCTCTTCTTCTAATAACCCTTTGTTCCTCTGTCCTCCTGCTTCAGATCTCATTGCCTTGTACCTGGTTTCTAAGCCTCATCCCTGCCCCTTCATATTAGCTCTTTGTACTTTATGCCTTGAGCTCCACCTTGCCTTCAGTTTCTGTCTTTGTTGGATCCCTCTCTGGTAGCATAGTGGTTACGAATCGGGCTACGAACAGCAAGGTCAGCTGTTCGAAACTACCAGTTGTTCCTCAGGAGAAAGATGAGGCTTTCTGCTCCCATAAAGATTTACAGCCTTGGAAACCCTGTTCAGGGTCACTATGAGTCAGAACCGACTCCACAGCACATAACAACAACAACTAGACCCCTACGTTTAGCAGCCTGAAGGCTAGCACCTCTCATGTTTGTTCAGACTTCTGGACTCTTTATAAGTTTCTATTATTTGGGAAGGGTGTTTTACTGAAGCTCTCCGGGAGGTGATCTCAACCTACATCTCCAGTTCTTTTCTCATAGTCCATTCACCTTGCCCTGGTTCTGCACTGTAAGCTTTAGCAACATCATACAACCCCATAGATGTTTAGCCTGACATTCTTTCTTCTAATTACAGAATAGGCTTGAGACAATACGTTTGAGGATAGGGAAGCTCAAAGAAGGACTGTTGGAATGATCCAGGAAAGAAATAATGAGCATGGACACTCATTTGTCCTTACTGTGACCCTGTTCTTTAGAGGTTTCAAACACAAGTAAAAACTTTGTCTCTATCTTCAGAGCTCACTGTCTAGAGAGGAATTCTGTATCAGAGTGTGGACTCTAGAATTGCAGAGGACATGTGTGAGGCTAGAACAGTGGCAGCCAGAGTGAAGATTCCTACTTGAAACTCAAGGGCCTCAGGTTAAATGTATGGAAACAAAGCATGAGACGGAAGCCAGATCCAGGGAATTTATGAGAAGTTCTATTTCAAGGGAAGCAGGGGGGAGGAGGGGAATAAGTGTGGAGGAGGGACTGACAGGGATATGGACCAATCAGAGGCCAGGAATTCTGACCAGCAATCAGTTAGTGGCAGTTTAGCCTGGAGGAGAAGGGACAGGAAGTCCCGGTAAGTGAGTCCCCTCCTCCTGTTGGTAGAGTGTAGGTCCTACAGTCATGGAGGTGGGCTGAAACTGCTGTCCATGGCCAAGTCCCCCTTCTCCAGATCTTAGGGATAGCAGTCATGGCCACCAGAGCCTCAGCCTCTGGCCCCATAATAAGACTAGTGTGCATGGCAATCACTTTGGTATGTAAAAGAAGCAGGGAAGAAAGAACAATCAGTTGAACTTCTACTAGCCAAGCCCTGTACTAGGCAGTTCACAAATCGCATCTAATAGCAAGACAGGAAGCAATGGACCAGAGATTGAAAACAGAGAGTTTTGCTTCAAGGGCGAGATTGCAGAAAATCTTTGTCCTCCCTGGTAAGGGAATTGAAATAGAAACCAGTAGTCCTGATGTGGCACTGTAGGCTAATGCATCAGACTGCAAAGTCATTTGAACTGCAAGGTTGGTGGTTCAAGCTCACCAGCTGCTCCTTGGAAACCCTATACAGGGTCGCTATGGATCAGAATCGACTCAGTGGCACTTAACAAAAACAAGTCCTGATCATAGTTCTGCCAAGACAATGTGGCATTGAACAAGTTGCATAATTTCTATAAATGATGGGTTCATGCAGTCATAAGCATAGAGAGATTGCTGCTTACTACAAGGTATACTCGAATAGAAGAGGGGTTTGTAACTCAAATTCGGCTAAGTGGTGGGGCAGGGGTGGTGGAGGTGGTGGGGGTGTCATGAGGCTTAGAAACAATGTTAAAAAGGCCTAATCACCAGCCAGGCATGGAGGAGTTTGGGCAGAACTGGGACCTGGAACTGAAGGAGAGCAATGTGAGAGGAAAATGGAGAAGAGGCAGTGATAGGGCTCATGATGGCCTGGTCCTTTTCCAAGCAGGCAATGTCTGTTCAGGTCTGCAGCCATGTTAGATGGTAGACTAGAGGGATGGATGAACCAGTTAGGAGTTCGCATTGACCTGGTTGAGTTTGAAGTGTTTGTGGAACATATGAATGGAGGTGTCTAGAAGGTAGTTGGATGATCTGGAGCTGTGGGACAAAGTCTGGACTGTAAATACTGATTTGCAGATTTAGAGTATGATGGTGCAATTGAAGTCTCCAGAGTGAACCAACTCACTCAGGGAGGGTGAGTATGTGCCCTGGGGAGGTGGACTGAGAGCATCTGGGCAGGTATTTCCATCCAATTCTCAGCCTCTCTCACAATATTTAATCATGTTTATGCTCTCTTATCCCTATAAGGTGAGCCCTGGTGTGGTGACGCAGGTTAACACGCTGGACTGCAAGGTTGGTTTGAACCACAAGGTTGGCGGTTCAAACTCTCCAGCTACTCCTCAGAAACCCTAGATAGGGTCACTATGAGCCAGAAGGAGTCCTGGTGTGGCGCTGTAGGTTAATATGCTGTACTGCAAAGTTGGTTTGATCTGCATGGTCAGCAGTTCAAACTCACCAGCTGCTCCTTGGAAACCCTATACAGGATCACCATGGATTGGAACCAGTTCAACTGCACTTAACAACAATAACAACAATGAGTCAGAACTGACTTGACGGCATTTAACAACAGTGCCTATAAGTGATAGTCCCTATAAGGATAGTGGGGAGTTCAGTGGTTCTGTAGCAGAGGCACTGGACTTTGAACCACAAAGTTGGCAGTTTGAGTCTTTTCAGAAGAAACACTTTCTGCTTCCACAAAGGTTTGCACCATCAGACCCTATACAGGGTCCCTATGAATTGGAGACCACTCGCTGTCACTTAACAACAACATTATCTCTATAAAGTCAGTTCATAAATCACAAGAAGCCCAAGAGGAAGTACAACAGGGCAGGAAGTCAAACTCACTGCATCTTCCCCTTTCTGTGCAGCTGTGTCAGGCATGGGACACAGTGATGAGTGTGTGAGAGGCTGTCTTTTCTTTCAAGGGCTCACCAGTCAGTAGAGGAGAGAGAGGGGTGCAGAGTGGCTTCCTAAAAGGTGCCATAAGACAGTTACATGTGAGCTGGTCAGTACAGGGAAGCAAGGCACTAATTCCTGGAACTGAGAAATGATTGAGGGAAGGCTTCTCTGTTTGAAGCATCTAGCTTGGAATGCAAAAACCTTAAGAAGTTCACACTCATCAACACACCTCCCATCTCCATTTCTTAGTGTACCTACATGTGTGTCACACACACACACAGTACAGCAACAGGCCTTGAATTCTGGAAAGAGTTGCAATCAAATGTTCACAACAGTTTAACCTGTTTCATTGATCAGACAATGATATCTTCTGGTACAATTTGCTACATTGTATAGGGTTTTGGAGACTCCTGGTATGGCTCTGGAGGATCAGTACTGGACTGAGAACTACAAGGTTGGCAGTGCAAAACCACCAACTGCTCCTCAGAAACCCTACACAGGTCTCTATGAGTAGAACCTAGTCGACAGCACTCAAAAACAATAACAGAGGGTTTCTGAGGCTGTAAATCTTGTCGGAGCAGAAAACCTCATTTTTGGTGGAGCTGCTAGTGGGTTTGAACTGCCAACTTTGTGGTTAGCAGCCCAGTGTTTATCTTACAGAGCCATGGCACTGATTTCTATTTATTAATTTCTCTAAAATAGATAAATTTCTCAGTTAATCAACATTCATCAAGATGTTCCCCATATCTCAGTTTTTAAAAAAAAACTTTTTATTTGTGAATTGAATGAAGGATTACAAAGCAGATCATCAGTTTCACATTCAACAAATCACTATACTTCATTTCATCTCAGAGATTACAATCCCATCGTATGACAACACTATCCTATTACTTTCCTGTTTCTTATTTCCATTCCTCCTCCTTTCCCAGCCTTCCTGAACTTTGTCCTTGGGTAAATACTGTCCTTTTTGTCTTAAATGGCTGACCATTCTGTGGCGTGGTTGTTGGCCCCAATGGGTACCTTTATGAATGAGTTCAGTTCCAGACCCAAAGAATAACTGAGGGCCATAGTCTCAGGGGTCCACCCATCTCTAACTGACCAGTAAGCCTGGTCTTTTTTAGGATTTTGAGTTTTGTTCCACATTTTATCCCACTCTATCCAGGATCTTCAAATGTGATCCTTTCAGAGTAGTTGTTAGTGGTAGCTAGACACCATTTAGGTCTTCTGGTGTCATGATCACAACATTTTTAATGACAGCAACACTTCCAAGATTTCTAGGTTATGCTGGTTCACTCACTTCAAACCATATTTTGCTTATTTCTTTATATTTCTTATTGGTTTTGGTTTTTAAAAATGACTAGATTTAAAGCTTTGCTTTTGTGTGTGTGTGGGAAGCATTGAAACTTTATGTAGATTAAAATTTATTTTTTTAAAAGTGTAATCAAGGTAATCATGTGCATAATAGGGTCACAGTGAAAGCAACAGGCTCATGCTTTCCATCCTCTGTCCCTCTTCTCTAGTGCATCCATTTTTAACTAGCTGTTTTAGTTCTTCTGGAAATTAAACTAGATTTAAAAAAACACACTTGATTTCAGTTTATTTATCCTCTCTGGACATTGTCC